ACTCACACTTCGCGACATCACCACTGCCCTTACATCCATCCACGCCTGACATGAACTTCGTGATGTTTTGGCACAATTCTCGTTTCTAAGCAAGTTGTTTTCTTTATCGGAAAGGGCTTTTATCTTTGTGTTTAACTGCCAACGCATTTGCTGTTGCTCGAGGAGATACTGTTTGAAACCGGCTTGTTTACTCACGAATGAAGATTCATAAATCTGCAGTACAACACTATTGTAGAATTTCAGCCTTTCTGTGTGTGGGTTGGGAAGGAGATATTTTTCCCACGGCTTCTTTTCTGGTGCTGAGTCGTTCCTCAGGACTTGTAGCTGCCCGGAGCGTCCAAATGACAAAATCGCCTTCTTGCGCTTCTTGGGAGCACTGGCGGACGTAACACCTACCGATCACATTATAAATGTTTGTTAAGGATTGCGTTACAAATTATGCACCATATTGCCTTACGTTTTTTGTTCATGGCTGGTTTGAAGCACAAGCCAATTATTTTATAGAGGCCTTCAAAATAATCATCTAAGAAACGATAACTCAATACCTTCACTGCTTGTTCCTCTTTTCTTTGATTCGCCTTGTATCTGAGCGAAGAAACGCCTCAGACGGCGACTTTGTATCTTCGTTAGTCCAATATCTCGCTCAAGAGTTTCGTCATCAACGTCCAGGAAATGCTCGACCTTTGCAACACCAATTTGTTTAAAATTGTCTGTGTAATTGCTCAAGTCAGCTTTTGTTAAAAGATAGTCAATTTCTTTATCCATTGAAAAAATAATGAAAGCAAATCAGCACAATTAAACGAGTTCTGTGCCCACGTTTCGGCTAAAGGTAGGTTTTATATGTCAATATGTAAAAAATAAGGTTAAAGTTAATATGTCACAACGATGTTAGTTAATAGTACGTCACTACAACAAAGCATTATTTAATAAGCACGCTGAGAAGATTTCCCCACAGTTGGACTTCAGACATTGTAATTGAGCAAGAATGGAAGATATGACAGAAAAGCTTAGCAATCTGGACGATAGTGGTGATCAGCTTGGAAAGCATTTGGATTTAAGTGATGGAAGTACCCATAAACGATGCCATAATGAAAAGCGAAGCGAGCGAAGGGCGAGAACTGAGCGGCTTGTATCAGATATCGACAATGACCAGGTAAATAAATGATGGCTTTGCAGTCTTCGTAAAAATATAAAAGCTAGTAAATGTTGTCTGACGTTTCGATGTTACTAAAATCATCATGAAGGAAAACGCGGCAATTTCTTCGTGATACTGGTCCATTATTTTACGCTCAAACTGGTGAGAAATAAAACAATAAAATATGCATGCAATAGTACAAGTAATCATTAACATTGAAACATCGAAACGACGCGGACATGAATTCTTTGTATTTAAAGACTGCAAATCCTGGTATTTGTGTTCACTATATTTAGATAGGGTTATTCCCGGCATCTGAAAGACAACCCTATAATTTGCAGATCAGAGGTAAATAACAGTGTTAAATATTTAACTATGCTTACAATTAATACAATTAAATTAAAACGGAAATGTAGAACGTGACGCAAGCGAAGCGAGCGGAAGAAAAAAAATGTGGGGGCTCCCTTGTGCGTGCGTCAAATGCAGACTATAAACCAGCGGACTTACTAGAAATTGACGCGATTTAAATTATCGCAAAGTGAAGGAAAAATACTTTCTAATAAATTAAATAATGCGAAAGGTGTGTTTTTTAATTTCAAACTGATGAAGAAAATTAACGCGGCGTTATAAAGAAACGGAACTTGTAGAGAAAACAGTTGCCAAAATCCAAACTCAAACGAATCTCGCTACTTTAATTTGAGTGTTCTTTTAAGCGACAACGAACCGGTGGATCTCTACCCTGATAAAACAATACAATGCTAAAAGAATCCAAATTAATTCTGGAGAACTTACCGCCAGCACCCCATAACCTGGGTCCAGTTGTTCAAAGGGTGGATAACACTATCCACCGGATAAATCACTATCCAGTAGCCTGCGTCGCAAACTGAATACACCGGTCAATACCGGGATTTCGTTTCAGGATAAATTGCAGGAAAAGTAAAAAGAAAATGTGCAAATTGGGGTACAAAAGAGGGGAGAATTTAGCGAGACCGCACCGACGCTTATCGTGGCTCAAGGTTTCGCCGCTCGCTATTAGGTGTCGATCGAGTCACGCGCAGTCTAGTCTGCAGTTGTTGCACACCTATACTTTCCTGATGTTTTCCAAAGAAATATGAAAGAAAATTGTGTCTGGGTGAATCGTTAAGATACATTCCTCAAGGCCATAGATCTAGTAAAACTGTGAGTTTCTCGATCTAAGACGAAGTCACCTTTTAACTACTTCAGGGAAAAAGAGAATGGAGATTGTAACATCGCAACAAAGCTGCACCCTAGAGCAAAATAGGGGTGTTATAGAAGAAGAATTATCGAGAGCAATTTCAGAGGAAAAGAAGCACAAGTTTCAAGGTCTGCTCTATGTCTTCGATCAACTATTTCTTCCGGTGCAAGATGCCAATGCTAAGACAAGAATTAGGTCTTCAATCCCCTTTCAAGAAGCATTAGAGTACTTTCTTGCGTTTCAACCTCATCACTCTGGGGCACCGTCAAAATATCAGAGAGTTGCCTTTCGCGAAGCTTTACTTCATGAAAAACATGGTCTCAGGATCAATATCATTCGTATAACTGAGGGTTTTGAGTATGTCGCGCTCCATCCTGACGAAGTCGATTTAGAGTCATTCCTTTTGGATATTTTTAGTGCTTGTAGTACTAAAAGTGGACATAGTGCTCTTGTTCTCGATAAGGAAACCCTGCAAGGTATCGTTACTACCATGGTCTCAGAATGGGATAAAATTTGTCTTAGAGTTATATTGTGATCCATATTCTCTAGAGAAGAAATGACAGCCCTAGGCTTCGATCCTGACAATCTTCCGTCTATGACGGAGAGAGTTAAATTCGTTGTTGAAGAGATAAAAAATGCTAATGAGGCAGCAGCCGACCTCGTTAGGTTGCGCTTAAATTCCAAGAAGGAAAAGCTGGGAAAGGAGATAAAAGAGAAGGAAAACCTTATTCAAAAGAAAATAAATATTTGGTCATCCAAAACGTTAGAAGAAATCCAAAGCGAAGTACAAAAACTCAAGGAAAAAGTTGAAGACACGAAGGGGCTTCTTCACAGCCAGCCCACCGAAAGCAATTATCAGAGAAAACGCCAAATGCTCAAGCGCCAAGCTTCAAGCCTTATCGAATCTAATCGACTGAAGAGGCGAAAGTTGTCAAACTAAGGTCCGAAGCCAAAGCTAGATGAGGAAGGTGAAGACTTCATTGCAAAGGCAATTGAGGATAAATCATCCCATCATGGTAGACGGCATGATACGGTCCTCTATACCGGCCAGAGGGTGAAGAAGAAAAACCTTCTTTCAATTGCCAACTACCGACTAGCTCAACGTGGGAAGAAATTAATTCAATCCGCTACAACAGTATACAACAGGGCGAGACCGAGAAACAAAAGAAGTCTCCAAGCGAAGCGCCATTATGGCAAAGGCCTATTCTGTTGGAAAAAGCCACCAAAAGGCGAAGAAAACACTCACTACCAACGAGCACACGTAAAAAACATAAAAAGACGATTCTGGGGTGCCAGAAATTCCAGCGCGAGAAAGTTTTGTTTCATGAGAAGCACCGATGACAAGGCTTACCTTAGACCAGGTACATCTGAAGGTTTTGACAAAGCCAGAAATCTTAGGATCTTAACATTATCAGATCACACTAAAGCAAGGAAGTTGCCAAAGTACGACTGGCCTGAGAAAATGGTATATGTGACCCCGGGTTCTCACCGTGTTTTTACGAAGTCAAGTGTAATGAATGAAACTAAAGAGAAGCTGATAACTGAGGACAATCGTCACTATGTATTTGTCCGGCCCAAAGCAATAGTGGGATCGTCAGGCACTGTATGGGCCAGCGAAACAGTTCGTTTTCGACATGAGGATCCATCAGCTTTTGAGGTTGACGAACCGACACCTGGCAGTCCACAGTACTCACTGGGATTTCGTAAATGCTGCGCGCGACTACACGATGACCTCTTTCTTTATTATGATATGACAGAGTCAGATGACCTAGACAAAATATCCGGAGAAACAGGAAGTAACTGTAAATTCTTCACTTACGAAAAAGAGAGAGCAGAGCACTTGAAATTAAGGATTGACAATTTGTTGCCGTTTTGCGAAGACACAGAAATGTCAGAGCACAATAGGGCTCTGTTTGCTAGTCAGATAATACCAGTCACGAAACGCATGTTAGATGCCATTGATGATCTGTTTAAAGAGGAAGTCGATTCAATGGAAAAAGATGCGAGAAAGGACAGGATTTTAAGGGTAACCAGTTCATGTAAACATGGTCTAGAAGTTCTCGGAGATCTCTGCCTTCCACCTGTAAAGCCACGATGGGCTGACCTTACAGATGCTGGTCCGGGCGTAGGAGTTTCCAACTACGAGGTTAGATTTTGAGACGCCGAGTTAGCAAGGGTTCACAATTCCGATGCGATGTCATCGTTCGAGGGGCGACAGCGGGCAAGGTGAAGCTGAAAGGACAAACTCGGCAATTTCTGATGCTCTTGTGGATGGCGCAACTCTAGAGTGGGAAAAATATAGGAGGTTTGAGGATCTTTCAGAAGAGGAAATCAAACAACTGTCTCTCTAGTCATACGAAGAGTACGAAAAGAAACGGATGGAGAAAAATGCCTGGTATGTCTGTAGTCAGGTAGCTGAGATAATTGATGATGCCCCTGTCCTTAAAGATTACATCAAGAGCAAAGTAAGCGAGTCCCCTGATGAATTATTCTTTTTCAATTCTGTTTACCTCGACAACTATCGGGGTGCATCAGAACGAAACAAAGAGCAAGCGCCCGGTGCAGCATACTTCCGAAAGATCGAATCGTTTATGGAAGACCACTATATTCGTGGAGAACTTTTTATGGAATTCTGTCGTGATGCCTGTAAAGAGTCGAGAGAAGAAAGTTCCAATCTCTGTTCCTGGTGTTCTAACAATAGATGGGTCGGTCCAGAAACGGAAAGAATTCCGCAACCTGTACCAGACTCAAACAATCCTGGACATTTCATGGATATCTATCAGACGGAATCGACGGGCAGGACACCAGATGATTACCTTCCAAGAAAATGTATTAAATATCTGTACGAGGAACATTCTGACAGTATCAGAAACGATCAGGATACCATGAAGAGCTTCTGCTCAAAATATAATGTGGAAGAGAAGCACGTCATTGCATATGTTAATCATTTGAAGGATATTGAGATCTGAAAGGACATGAGAACAAGAGCAGCTGAGGAGCGAAGAAGGCAAGAGGCCGAACGAACGTACAAGGACTTTCAATGGGATAACCTCATCGAGGGTGGCAAAGTTGAAAAGTTGCGGGTAAGAGAACTAGACCTGTATCTCAACAAGCATGGTTTGACGACTGTGAGTCGGAAACTTGACAAAGTTAAGGCCATTCGATGTCACTATTACCGACAGAATAAAGAGACTGTGATAACAGAAGAACTGTCGAGTGATGAAGATGACGTGGAATCCGAGGATGAAGAATCCGAAAGTGAAGAGGCAGAGAGCGACGATGACTATGTTTTTGTGGATTTGGATGAACAGCCTGAGATTGGCACTTCCCCGACAATTCAGTTCGTATCTGACGAGCAAATATCTACCGTTGTTGTTCAAGGTCCATGAGACGTAAGTACCACTATTAAAGATATCACTTGCATATTCAAAAAGTTATTTGGCGGTGGCTGGGAGAAGGGGGGGGGGATCATGAAACTTTCCACTACCAATAAGGGGGGATCTTTAAAAAACTAGATACTCTACAGGGGATCAGGTAAATGCTCCGATGTGACAATAAAAATACTCCGACCCCCGGCGATAAATAATGACCGGTCCCTAATTTATTTTAATCCTGGAGTAGGGAATCAAATGGAATTTGGTTGCCTATGCCTGCTTTAATAACCCTGGACAAAACAATTCAGAATTAGGTTTAAAAAAATTGATCTTTAAACTAGATTACATTTGGTTTCTCTGAAAGGTAACCTATGATGATTAAAGGCAGAGGTTGAGCAGAGTTCTTGAAAGTGATGGAAGAATACAGTAATAGTAACTTTCTAAATTCGATTTCATGTCGAAGTTATTGCAGAAAGGGAACTTCTTTTTCTGTTCCAAAATAGTTATATATAGATAGATAGAGAGAGAGAGAGAGAGAGAGAGAGAGCCAGAAGAAAGGGAACTTTCGTGACGAAAATGGGGAACTTTGGTGACGGAAACAGGGAACTTTTCTGACTAAGGGAACTTTTGTGACGCCCATAGGGAACTTTAAGGACGTTCATAGGGAACTTTTGTGACGAGACTGGGGAACATTTGTGACATTAGGGAACTTTTGTGACGACATTGGGGAACTTTAGCGACTTGAATAGGGAATTTTCGTGACTTTAACTGGGGAACGTCGATGATATCATTGTACTATGTATTTATATCTCGTACATCTTTCTTTTTAGCTCTGTTGCTTTTGTAAAGTACTTAAAACATATCAGGATAGGCGCAAGAGGAATATATATTATTATTATGTTCATTTCTGGAAGTTAATTTTCGGCAAAACATTACTTTCAGTACAATAGAAGCAACAGGTATTTTCCCTGTTGATTATCATCATTTCTCAGTTGTTGCTAAACACTGACGAGTCTCTTTTATTTAACAATCCAACATTTTATTTAACCAGGCGCTCATTATCAAACATCACTACATCAAATTTAAAAGGCTGTGCAGCCACTCAGTTCAACACAATAAGGCCTGTGCACTGTAACAGTATTAAAACATACAACGCTACCGTTTCATGATAACAGAACAGGCAAAAACAAGATGTATATTTATCATGACAACACACTATTAATTAATCAATATATTGCAAATTATCAAGAAGGGTATTAAATTTGAACTTTGCCTGATTCTATCAGGTGCATAAACATGGAGACAAGACAAACAATAAGCCACTACCAATCTATTAAAATTCAGCTTGATAGTGAGGCCTAGAGGACGCAAAGCAAAAGCTATGAACAAACATGGTGATTTCATTTTATTTGTATCGGTCCTTTAGGCCGCTCTCAAGCTGAATTTTAACATATCCGACAAGTGGTCTATTAGTTCCGTTGTCCACTCAACAATAACTTGAATTAGTAACAGTACTTGGACTGAGTGAAGTACAATTCAGGGAGTAATCAGCGGGAGTACATGTCATTTCAAAATTGGATGAGCGCAAAATGCGAGGCCAGCGTTCAAAATATGAGCACGATTACTCCTTGACTAATTGTATGCCACGAAGTCCAATTACTAATTAATCGTATCTATAACAAATTTCGAAATTATAAATTTCTTGCGAGAACTTCTTTAAAATAGTCTGTAGCATTTTTCATAAGTCATGAGAAATCTAGGAAATACTGTGACGGAAGCCATTAGGCGCGTGATTGGCGTGCAAATCACGTGGGTATCCCATTACAGGCACCCAATTACGAAAAGTTCAAATTAGATACCTGTTATTGGATACCCACGTGATTACTGCGCCGATTACATGACAAATAAAGCGCGCAGAGAGCTAATCAAGATCAATGATATTGTTATAGATACCATTAGTTAGTATAAATCGTATGAGAAACGTGTACTTAATCTCCAGCAAATCTCAGGACGCTTGATATAATTCTTTTCTGAACATAAACAATGCTGTAACACTTTTACTCCGAAGGAAAAATTTAACAATGCATTACAACGAAACTAACTCCCCCAGAGGTAGGTACTCGGTTGAAGTTAAAGCTGTACAAGAGCACAGGATATATATCTAAATATATAGAAAATCTTGAGATAAAAAAGAGATCTTAAATACAAAATCTAACACTAACAATTTGATTGTAATCAACAAACAACTCTCATGTTGAGCTGTCTTAGGCGCTCTTAAAACGCATTTGTCTTATTTCACGCGATTAATAGTTGGTATTTTAATTTCCGCAATACAAAACAAGAGGTGATTTAGCATGTAAAATGCAGATCTAACACCTATGTTAAGACTGCAATAAACTGTGAAGTTTTTGAAAACAACTCTGATATTAGTTAAGTTGTTAAGACCGTCTATGACAGTCCAACATTAGTGTTGAGTTGCCTTAGACGCTCTTGAAACGTCTTTCGTATTTACACGATTCATTATTGTGTCTGAGGATGCTTTTTGTACTTGTCCCTATCCTCCATTATTGTTCTGAAAAATTTCTTTCTTCCTGGATCTTGAGATGGGTACAGATATCGTTATCGATGCTTTAAACATAGCTCTCAATATGTCAAGATCCGAAGATGAAAGACTGCAATAAACTGAGAAGTTTTTGAAAACAACTCTAATTAGAGAGCATCTAAGACAACTCAACATTAATGTTGAGTTGTCTTAGGCGCTCTTAAAACACGCCTTTCGTATTTCACGGGATTAATTATTCCGGGCTGTCCAAGTAAGCTTTTTGCAATAGTCCCTTTCCTCCATTTTCGTTCTGAGGAATTTCTTTGACCTTGGGTCTTGAGATAAGTACGGATGTCGTTATCAACACTTTAAACATAGTTAACAATTATTCACCGAAGTGGAGGTCAATAGTGATGGATATTTACTGAACCACGAAGCGGCAAGGCCGGTGAATATCCATCACTTTCACCGACACTAAGGTGAATAATTGTTTTAGTATATACCACACAAGCTGAAAAATTAGCGGACCAAAACGTTATTTTATGTGTGACAAACGGTCAGAAAATAAAAATCTCTCGCGCCGGTTGCTCGGAGGTGAATAGTGCTGGCTAATCACGTCCGAGTTAACCAATCAGAGCGCGCGAAAAGCACTATTTACTTGTGTGGTATATGCTAACTGTCAATATATCAATATTGGAAGATGAAAGACTGCAATTAATTGTGAAGTTTTTGAAACCTCTCTAGAGTTTTTTTTTGAAGAGCGTCCAAAACAACTCAACATTAATGTTGAGTGTTCTTAGATGCTCTGAAAACGCATACTCGTATTTCACACGATTTATTATCGTGTCCAAGGAAGCTTTTTGCATTAGTCCCTTTCCTCCATTTTCGTTCTCAAGAATTTCTTTGACCTTGGGTCGTGAGATGGGTATGGATGTCGTTATCATCACTTTAAACATAGCTCTCAATATGTCAAGATCCGAAGTTGAAAATAGGTTTCAACGCCACTTGCCTCTGTCGTTGTGGTCGCTATATCCCACGGATTGTTTTGGACATCAAGAGATCTTTCCACTCTTTGTTCTAGAGTCTCTTGTTCATCGGGGGAGGTTCACAGGCTCTGATTGTGTGGAGGAGGAATAACGCCACGTCCCTCGAACTTTGTCAAGAATCTTCTTTGGATCTTCGTCCTTTAACTCCATGTTATCCGCTATCTTTTCCCTCACCGTTGCCATCGTCACAGATTTACTCTTGATCTCCTCTTCAAACAGATCTCTGATTACCATTTCTTGATCTTTGCTCAAGGTACATTTAGAAGCTCCACCCTCGTCCACTGTGGAAATGCTTGGGCTTTCATCATCCCCGCGCATGACTTGACGCAGATGTTGGGAAGCCTTGACAGAGGATTTCGATTTTTCTACTCGTCGATAAAATCGGCGTGGCAGTGGAAACATTATGGGCCATCAAATCCGCCAAATTTCCTCTTGCTTCATTGCTTTCGCTGCAGCTGTGCACGCTTGACACTGCTGATTTTCTGAATAATGTGGAGCTTGGCGCACCCTCGACTTCGGCCTTCTTCCATACGGACTTAATGGCTTTGTTGATTTGACTTGAAACCATAGCCTCTCCAGTGGACGTTATAAAGACACAATTGTCTGGCCCAGTGTTAGAAGCAGTGATTTTCAAACGCACTTCTCTGAGGAAGACGTCCATCCAGCTTTTCAATTTTGCGGAGAAAACAATTCTGGCGGGACCATGGGTGCTCACTGTCTTGTGATTCTTCACAAGAACAACAAATTCGTCTCTTTCCTTTGTCATTCTGTCATATTCCGCTACTGTCATGTTCGCAAGAGCCCCCGCCCTATTAGCGTTGTCAATAGATATCTCAACTAGGAGAAAATCTCGAATCAAAGTATACTGAGCTTGGGTGATCTGGATGTTGTGCGCACCGGACAGTTGACCTAACAAGCATACAACATCTCTTGCAGCTTTGCTTGTTTCAAACCGCTTTATTTGATCTGGAGTGATCAAAGCATGGAAGTCTTCTTCCATCTTTTCCCATTGTCGTTTGGCGCAGTTCTGGCGAAATGATGATGACCACCGGCCGACCTTGTCTCTCAAAGAGATAACAGTTTCCTTAGAAATGGTTAGTCCAACTTGCCCAGTGAGGGAATAGGAGTAAAAGTGGCGTAGACTCATAAGATAACTCTGTGTTGTTTTGGGGTGGTATTCTTTCTTTGCATAGTCCTCGAGGAACTTTTGGTTAATAAGGCAGCCGTCAAACAAAGATGTCAAATTGCACTTGTCATCCACCACCTTCAAAAGCTTTGAAACTTGCTTCCCATGCTGATGGCTGGTTTTCTCATCAAGCTGACCTCCATGACATCGTCAGCCAATTTTTGTGGATTTTCAAAGGAGCTTCCGTTTTCATCTGTCTCATCTTCAATCTTTTCAATCGCTTCAACTCTTATGTGTTCAATCTCCTCAACTCTTGTGTGAATACTTCTATGCTCACTTTCTTTCTCTTCGCTTTCGCTGTCGTCAAGAATTCTTATACGTTTATACTTCTTTGAACTTTTTCTAGGGACTTCTATTTCATCTTCACTCTCGACAAGCTCCTCAACAATCACAGGAGATTCACGCTTGTCTCTCCCAGAGCTACGTTGTCTTTCATGATAAGGTCGCCGTTGTGAATCACTGACGGGTCCTCGCACCCTTGACAATGCAGCCTTGTATTCGGTGGAATCTGGAAGTAGTTTGTGAACTTTCTTAAGATGAGGAGGCATTCTTTTTACAAGCGATGTACAACCATCCATTGGACAGTAATGATAATAGTGGTAATCCTTTCTTTTTCCATCTTCTTTCTCTGCCATATTTTCTTTTGTCGGTTTCTTTTTCTTTTTGGGCACTTTGCTTGGGCTTGAGTAACCGTGGGTCTTTTCGTGACCAAAGCGTACAAGGGCAGTCTTGAGCATGCTCCTTGGTCCACCCATGAACGTCTACCAGATGGCGTGGAATACGAACCACTTCGGCATTACATTGCGGAATAGGACAAGGCCTCTTCTCTTGCTTGATCCTCACGCCACTGTGAGATACCTCCTCTTCTTTGGCATCCTGATTATGTGAAAAACATACATGTTCTTATTGAAGTTACAGTGTGACAGCATGGAGTACAATTTGCTCTAGCCACTTTATGAACGTATTTACAAGTTATGCCCCCCCTCAATCGACAAACTGTATAACTGATTTACGTTGGTATCAGAATCTGAGAAATCTGTAATATCAACATGTTGTGCAAAGATCTCACCTTGGCGATTAAAAATATATATCAAAGACAATTCAATTTTCATTTTACAACATATTGTTCGCATCGATTTTACCTCGTGTTTTATTAAGACAGAAACAATGTTGATTTTGACTTCTGCCCACATTAAGGGAAATAATTAGGATATTTCACGTGCAGGATACAAGGGACTATGCATACATTTCATAAATAAGTAAGCTCTTCGACTGCTTTACCTCGCTCTCAGCACCGGAGGACTCCGTTAAATCAGCATTCTGTTCTATGCTGCCACCCTGAATAAACCACAAAATATAAGAGTGCGTTAAATTCTAGTTTAACAACATGTCTGTCTAATTCATGTCATATTTTGAAAAACTCTGTTGTTCCTGTGCAGGGTTAAATTCATAATGCTGCGCCTACAAAGCTTAAAGTTGTCAATATATTAACTTCTGAGGTGGCTTTGCTATGAGCCTCGTGGTTTCTTTTGGAGGTCTCCCCACCGCTTTTTCGAATTCAGCATTGTTAATATAATTTCGTCTTTATTTACGCGGCAAAAAAAATTTGATTCTGCTGCTGATGATGACAATTATGAAAATAAAAGTTACATTCTTCAATTCGTAAATGCACACCGTATTTTTTTTTAATTTTCAGCTACACGCAAAAAGCATTATTCTATTGTAATGATATAGACCTAACATTTTTTAAGTTTGACATTAAATAAATGTCATCTCGATATTTTGTAACGGAAGGTCACTTAATTGGTGTTGGGGGCATAGAAAAGAGTACAGTGGTGTACGACCAGTGAAAAAAATATCCATACGTATCATTATTGACATTAGACTTACTGGAGGGCTGCTCTCAGTAGCGTAGAGCTGATTAACAAATTCAGAGGCCTAAAAGAGAAAAAATTATCATTTAGGGTCGAAAAAAGGAACGTATGCAAGGAAAAAAAGCAAACATTTTGTGGAAACAAGGTCTCACTGCCAAAAGAAATCCCAGACAAGTGATGGGTGAAAAAAGGAGACCCTGGAAATGAGTGTGTCCCAAGCCCTCCTACACCACTTTGAAATGGTCCACTCCAAAGGACAAAATATAATTTAAGGGCTTTGTTTCATAAACCAACCGAATACTTGTTTCTGCTCTTATAGCTACAATTCTAAGATTACAAGCCCCTAAGCAAGAGACGACCTGCGATTCCACGAGAAAAGCATAAACGGAATCATGCATTTTTTTAGGAAAGCCTCAGACACAGGAATTGTCACATACATCACCCCTTAATTTGTCCCTTAATCAATTTCGCACCGTAAGGCATCACTTCTCCAGAGAATCGTTCTTGCCGATGACCCCAAAATGGCTGTGCAAGGTTCTTAATTAATCAGACCTCTAATCTTAATACCTTTGTGTAACTATAGGCTATGAATCAAAACTTACCCTTAGTGGCTCCATGTCGTGATTGAGCCAAACAATAGACATGAAATTTTAATTCTCCTGAAAAAAAAAAAAAAAAAGGCTAATGAAAAGAACATCAATTTCCCATAGCCTGCAAGCAGGCTCATGTTGGGGCACAAGCTTTATGGTGGAGGCGGCGGCCGTGGGACGAGAAAGTAAGCGTACTCTGGTCTCTGCAATTTTTTCAATTTCCACCCGGAAACCGCAGAAACGAATAAGTCAATAATTTTTCACCCGCAAGTATGGACACAGATTTCTTGAGAAAATTGTTATTCTTTTTCATAACAGCATGTAGGCGCCATATCCGTTGTTGATAAACTTTTACCGAAGAAAAACTATCAACGTTTATCTTTACTAATGACACACACACTTGATCCAAGTGATCTTGCTTTGGCAATCTGGTCTTTTGCAATGCTGGTAAACGGACAAACGCCTTCGTGTTGTTTCATTGCCCGTCTGCAATCACATACGCTTGCAATATTTAATTCTTCCCATATGCAGTCGGCGACATGACAAGTATGCCTTGATTTATTAAAACAATTAAAACTGCTATTTCTGCTCCCCCTTTAGTGTAAAATTTAAGTACTAACACGCTGGAAGTTTGTTAAAACATCAGTAACACGCGCACTCAACTCTTCCTCTGGCCAAATGTCGACGACTTGCTTTATTTTTTAATTTGCGGTAAATTACTGACTCCCTAGGGGTTTAATCGCACTTCAGCAGATATAATATCGCCTTTCCCGCTTTTCGACCAATGGTATTACAATTCACTCGGACGAAGCAGAAATGAAAAAAATTACAGAGACCAGGGTCGGCTCACTTTCTTGGCGCCTCTTCACCAGACTCCTGCCTGCCGGATCGCTTTGCTCTTTTTGCTGCTAGTGCGTATAACTCAAAGGTGAGCCTGCTCGCAGGCTAATTTCCGACAACAGCAAAGCTTTGACGTACGCTTCTGTATCAGTGATAAAATGAGTAAGATAAAAAAATAATAATAATAAAACAATAAATAAAAAAGTTTTGCACACCAAAAGTATTGCGTTCAGGGGCAGACATTAAAACCCTTGCAATAGGCCACTGTATATTACTGAAACTAACCACCTCAAAAAGAAAGGCAAACCAAAACGTGTTTATGTCACTACCTTAAGGTGTAAAATAATAGTCCTGGACTAGTCGCACGAAATTTGTTTCGCCTTTCATCTATCACACAAAGAGCTGTATATGAGTACCATTTGCACATACGTTTAAGCATTGCATATACTACCCTTGACAGAAACAAAACAGTAATACAATAATATGTTAACGACTTTGGAGCGAATTTGCTTGACAACTGACCGTGATTAATTTCATAAGAGTGATTAAAATGAAAACGGGTAATGTTCAAGGCCAATTATTCGGGAGAGCGGCAAAATATGCTCATCTTCACCCCCACCCACCCCTCCCCTTCCACAAAGAGAGATGCTGACCAATTGGTGTGCACATTACGACCTTTACAGTGTAAATAGTCGTGGAATAACTGAAAACAATTCGTTCCCCTTTGTATCTATCACACAAAGACACTATGCATGACGAGTACGGTTTGCAGCTGAGTTGAATCATTCCCATACACACTTAAAGAGGTACAAAACAGTAATACAATACCATGTCAACAAGTTTCGAGCGAATTTGATGAACAACCGAATGTAATTAAGTTAACGAGACAATTAATTCTTCGTCATGGACAAAGCGATTTAACTTTAATGGGTGACAAAAACGAGCCAAAACTTTGAGACAACGACAAAAAATGCACACATACTACTTGAGGCGAGCATTTCGGCAAAAAGAAGTTAGACTGCAAATTATAATCGAGCAATTTCACCGTGCAGCAACGAAGGATGATTCCAGGAAAAACCAAAAAGATACTGCTCGAACTGATGATTTATATAAGCGATCGCATATCCCTTACTTTGGAAACGTTGTTCCCTGCATTAAAAACTCATTTTATATCTATAAAGTATTATACATTGAAAACAACTTACTTCAATTCACGTCGTAAACCTTGCACGTCAATCCAGTTCCTGCCTCGTGGCATTCACTGACTAGTACTGCATGATAAACGTCACGCAAACGTCACGCCGAAGACGTCAATGCACTACACAGAAGTCCCACAGATCATAACTTTCTCTGCGGCATTTAGTTGAGTTCGTTGTAGTCTTGTTAATTTACACCTACTGTAAAAGCTCCATTAATCCCCGGGGCTTAGTTAATAATGGGGAACTTATTAGAGAGGAGGGCAATAGAGAGAAGGAGGGGTTTATTTCAAATCTTAAACATACCGTTTTTGTCCCAGGTAGGTTTTTTTTTTTCCAAAGCTCAAACAACTGTAGTCTAAATTTATTACGTAATAACGAGTAGCAAACAGTGGTATGTGTTTGAGTGTATATTTCTGTAAAACAAACCAAATGGCTGCAGAAAAAAAAAAAATGGCGAGGGACATGTTAGATAGGGGCGCTTATTATAAAAGCCTACTTCCAAACAGCGGACTTATTAAAGAAGGGGGTTAAACAGAGGGGGCTTTGCTAGAGCTTTTTTTACGGTATTGCACTATCTCAGGAGAGGAAAGTAAACCACATCGGTCGTTTATAATACGTGTTCTTTTTCTTTTCAAAGCCCAATTACAAAATATAGTCTAGACAGAGTTGAACAAAACCATCGTCTCTATAGCTGAGTTTAAGTTATCTGAACAAGAACATTCTGTTATCACTTACTATGATTCAAAATAAAACGTGTATAGCAACCTTAAGACTAGGGCTATCACGATAAACAGATGATAGATTGTCGAGTGAGGCCAGCCTTTATTTACACAATTGTTTGACACATTTAGTAGCAGCGCGTTTAGGAGCCGCCAATATCCTTACTAGTTTGGTCAGTGTTTTACAGTTATTCATCTGATTCATAACTCACGAGACTGAGATTTAAGCTGGCACCTTTTGTAGATTTCCTTTAAAAATATATACTTGTCTGCTGGGGGATGTGTAGGTCTTAGATTCATCGATCTTTGCGGAGTTGACAAAGCGACATGTTAAATATAGTGTGTGGGTCAGTTCAAAAATTAAGGAGTGCGCCAAGGTTAATTCATGATCTTCAATTTATTTTTCACAATTATAACAACACTTTCCCTAAAACAATATTACTGTAATCATCAGGCGACACAATGAGGCCTGAAGTGGAATTTTTCAGTCACCTGTCCATATACCTCTATATGCAAAGCACATCGAGTTTATA